AGCACCTCCGGGGCACTGGTGGGTGGGCACCGGGCAGGGGCAGGGGCCCCGGGCCTCCAGGGACAGCCCCCTCACCCAGCCCTGGAAGAGGGCAATCTTCAGCAGCAGGAGCCTGTACAGGTGCATGCGGTTCTGGACTAGCTGGGGGAGAAGGGGACACCAACATCACCCAGTGCCCCCACCAGGGTCAGGCCCTACCTGCTCCACGCCTCAGTTTCCCCAGTACATAAGAACGATCTTTCTCCACTTTTATTTTTCTTTTTGGTAGCATTGGGGATTGAACCCAGGGCCTTCACACTGAAATGCATCCGAGGTCTTTTTATTTTTTATGTCAAGACAGGGTCTCACGGAGTCACGCAGTTACGAAAAGTGGGCTCAAACTTGCAATCCTCCTGCCTCAGCCTCAGCTGGGATAGCGGGCACGTGACCCTCACTGGCTTCTTTCCCCATTCTAAGGACTCCATTCTGAGAAGGAAGCTTTTGAAGTGTTTTATGTTACATTTGGTTCCTCTGTGTGGGATTTAATGCTTATTTACAACGCCTGGACTGAAGGAGAGGGCATTATCATTGCAGCCGCCCCTATCTGACAAGGAGCTGCCCTTCCCACCCCCAGACCTGCGAGAGGTTGTGGGGAGAGGGGGGACCCAAACGTGCAGGAATCCGGGTAGCCGCAGGACAGGGGGTCCCCCACCTGCAGGCGTGGGCTGGGCGGGAGAGGCCAGTAAGTGAGCCCTCTGGGGACCCACTGAGTCCTGGCCCCAGCCGTGGAGTGACACAGCCCACAGCCCAGACCCCTGCCCTGTGTCCCTGGGACCCGCAGAGCCTGGGCCTGCAGGTTCTGAAGGACTATGGGGCCCTCAGGGGCTGGCTGTGTGCCCCTCATAGGCTGGGCTAGCAGGGCCAAGGGGGAAGGGGCTCTGCCCGAAGGAAGGGGATCGAGGGGTCCATGGAGGGGACAGGAATGGGGTGCATGTAGGAGCTCCCAGCCAGGGTCAGGACTGAGACCAGGGAGAAGGGAAACTGGCAGAACCCATGTGATCCTCCAAGATCAGGTCTATAGGACAGGAAACAAAGACTCAGAGAGGCGAAGTGATTTGTCCAAAGTCACACAGCTACGAATGCTAAAGAAGGACACTGCAAAGATGCCAGTCTGGGGGATTAAACCAGTGCCTTTGGATTGAGCCCTAACCCCTCCCCGTTTATTTTTTAGAGGCAGGCTGGACTCAGAATTGTGATCCTCCTGCCTCAGCCTCCCATGGTGCTGGGATCACAGGCATGCACCACTGCACTCAGCCTATCTCTCCTTTCTATCCCACAGAAAGAAATTCCCAGGACCTTGTTCTGAAAACTCAACCCCTCGCCGGCTGGGGGTGGGGTGTGATTTTGAAGTGTGGCTCCCAGCCACAAGAAATTTGGAAGGACAAAGCTTAAGCCACAGAGCAACTATTTGTGAGGGAAACACTGACACCGTGGCTGGGGTCAGATGGTCCCTTGGGCCCCCAAGGTGGCTTGGGGTGGCCTGTGCCCCATCCCAGTGTCCTGCTCACTCACCAGGACCCAGAGCCTGATGACCTGCATCAGGACCTCTGGGAGGCTGGATCTGCCCTGCGCCATGGCCTCCATGTCTGGCTTCCTCCCTGGCAGAGGCCGGTGACATCACAGATGCCGCAGGGTGGGGCCAGGTTGCCATGGGGACCCTTTCCCTGGCCCTTCCTCCTGAGACCGCATCGTGATGGTGGGGAGCTAAGTTTTCCTCAGATTCTTTCCCCGGAGGGTCCTGGCCAGGTGCTCAGGGCACACATTCGAGGGGAGGGGTCCCTGTATGTGGTGGTGGGAAGTGTGGGGAATCCAGGAGCAGGGTTTGACTCTAACTGGGGCTCTGTCTGGCCAGGAAACAGACCAGAGTACACCAGGAACCATCCACTCACCAAGTGTAGGAACGGAGGCTGAGGCAAGAGGAGACCACATACAACACAAAACACTTTAAAACCTCCCTCCTCAGTGTGCAGTTGCCCAGACCGAGCTCAGACTTGGAACCCTCCTGCCCCAGCCTCCCAGAGTACGGGGATTACAGACAATCTATGATGGAAGAGAAGAAGCAGGCTGTCTTTTGACCCAGGGGAGGCTCCCTTACCTTCCAAGGTGGTTTCATCCATATCCTGGAAAGAAAAGTCCAGGACAGAGGGCCATTCGTTGTACATCATCTGCAAGATGTGCAGAAACACAAAAGACTCCCGGAGCCAGCAGCTGAGGCAGATCAAGGTAAAGTAAGGCAGGGTCAGGGGCCCCCAGGGGGCTTGGGCCAGGGTGTCTGAGGTGCTGCCCTCTGGTGGCCAGCGGAAGAGGAGACAGGCGGAACACAGGGAGGTCCGCAAAACCCGACCCCCAAAGGGGGTTGCAACCGAGCTCAGGAGCTGTGCGCCGAGCCTGGCCGCTGTCCCACCAGACCAAACCTCAGCACCACCCTGTCCCCTCCCCTCCCTCCTGACCTTCTGGCCCAGCCTTCTCTGTGATCAACGGCTAGGGGTCTCGCCAGTCCCTGAGCTCCATCCGGCCAGGAGTCCTAGTCCTGCAGGTGACGACAGCAGCCCCAACCCCGGACTTCGATCCCTTCCCTGGGAGCCTCTCCACCCTCGGTCCAGGCCTCTCCCACACCCCTTTCTCTACCCCAAGGCGCTAGGTTCAAGGTGATCTCTGCGACCTTGGCGTTTCATCTTGGACAGTGACAAGAGTCGGTTATCATTGCTTTGCACAAAACCAGGGACGCCACTCCCCGGTCCCTGCCTCCCTAGGTGGACATCAGCGCCCAAGCCCAGGATCCCAGCCGCCTCCAAGTCCTGCCGGCCCAGAGACACTGGATCCCAGGAGCCCCGCGGGTGCAGTCACGCAGTACAGCCGCGCGGGGGCAGCAGACACCGGGGCGAGGCGGTGTGGAGTTTTCACTGCGTTTTGTTCTCTTGCCCTGCAAGGCCAGCTTCCCCGCGCAGCAGAGCTGGGTGCATGTGAGGGGCGCTCCTGTGCAGGTACCGTGCTTGGGTTGCTGAAGGTGGAACCACCAAGAAACGATGACTGCCCTTTAGTTCATGCTTCATTTTACTTCTTAGTCTTTGTTTTTGTTGTTTTCCTTTTTAACTTTTTCATTTTATTAGTATTTGTGATATGTAATCAACACATTCATGGAGGGAACTGCTACACGTACATTATAGCATCTTGATCTTTTTTACTCCCCTTCCCTCCCCTCCTTCCCCAAATTTCATTTTATTTCTATTCTTCACTGGGTTTTCCCCCTAAATACACAAAAATGATGGATACACCTTCATAATTAAGGGAATAGGTATGTGAGGGGGTCTCGCTAAAAATGGCTTTAGTGTCTGAGTGTGATGACACACACCTGTAATCTCAGCACTCGGGAGGCTGAGGCAGAAGGATTACTGTAAATTCAGGGCCAGCCTGGGCTACATAGCAAGACCCTATCGATCTCAAAAGGGGAGGGGGGCTTTAGCTAAGCTACTTAAATGTAAAAACAATATTCAAAAGCTGATGAAAAGAAAGCCAGGCGTGGTGACCCACACATATAATCCCAGCCCACTGGGAGGCTGAGGCAGGAGACTCCCCCGTGAGTTCAAAGCCAACCTGGGCTACATAGTTCAAGGTCAGCCTAAATTACATAGTGAGACCTTGTCTCAAAAAACAAAAATAGAAAGCGAAAGAAAGAAAATTGCCCAGAGCACGTTTTAAATGTTCTCACCTCAAATAAATAAATACAAGAAGTAATGCGTAGGTCCAGTGGCTGGCTTCAGCCACTGACATCAAGCTGCATACCTAGGTGTACACAGGCTCTTCCTGCCCAATAAAAGCATAAAAAGGAAAAAAAAAAATCAAAGGAGCCAGTGGAGCACAAGGGCAAATGTAGTTTACAGAGAAGGAAACCAGGGAGCCAATAAGCTTAAGACAGCCTGGCCAGCCGCATCAGTACAATTAGCAAGCAGGGAGGAATGCAGATCAAACGGTACACAGCGCCTGTCTTCAAACACGGAAGGAAAAAGGCGGACCGAGGGGCACAGGACAGACAATGAGACCCTGCCCGGCAGCCAGAGCCTCTGTGCTATGGAATTACTCAGCCAGACCAGCACTCAGGAGGCTGAGGCAGGAGGATCGATAGTTCAAGCTCAGCCCGGGCAACTTAATGGTTTAGTGAGACCCTGTCTCAAAATAAAGAAGGCCTGGGGATATAGCTCATTGTGAAGGCTCTAGGTTCAATGCCCAGTAGCGCATAAAAGGAAAGGAAGGGTGGGAGGGAGGAAAGGAAACCTAGTAAACAAGAGTGTCCATTAAACACATATGTGCAGCTGAAACAAGGAATTAACCAGAGAAAGCCCTGCCTTACTATGCGCGAGGTGCCCTCCGGGTTTGCCTCCCTTGGCCTCACCTTGGAGGACCCTTCCCCTCCCCGCCCGGCCCGAGCCCCTCTGAGAGCGCCCCCTCCTGGCCGGGGCTGCGCTCCTCGGCCCTCAGGGAACCAGGTGAGTAAAAAGTGCAGACGCCAAGGAAGGAAGCGTCCAGGTCGGATTTAGCCATCAGCAGAGTGGGTAAGTGGGACCCCAGCAAGCGGGGGACAAAATGTCCCGCGCAGACCCCCGGGAAGGGCGGAAGAGACAGGAAGGCCCTCCCGGAAGTTTGGCTCAGTTCTCCGGGAAATGTTCGGAGAGCTGGAAGACCGCGTCTGCAAAGGACACAGCAGACGGAAGATGTGGCCAAAAGTGACAAAGCTGGTGGTGACAGGGAGATGGAAGGTGAGACGAAAGGAAAGAAAACAGGCCCCAGCGCTCCGAAGAGACCAACGTCTGCCTTCTCTGTCTTGCTCTGAACAGTGCCCAAAGGTCAGATTCGGACACCCAGGCCGTCAGAGATCTGCAAAAGGCGGGATGAAACGTGACCCGAGCGATCACGAAGACACCACAAAGACACGCGGGGGCAGCTGCAGGCTGGAGAGGAGGAGGAGGTGGAGGAGGAGCTCTCCTGTAATGCTGTGTGGCCTGTGAGCGCACAGGCGGTGTTTTGCTAAAATGTGATTTCAAGCGCAGCTCAGCATTAGCTTCTATATAAAAACTGCACAGGTTTTGCAGAGCGCAGTGGCGCACAGCTGTGATCCCAGCATTCGGGAGGCTAAAGCAGAAGAGTGGCCACAAGTAGGAGGAGGAGGTGGAGGAGGAGCTCTCCTGTAATGCTGTGTGGCCTGTGAGCGCACAGGCGGTGTTTTGCTAAAATGTGATTTCAAGCGCAGCTCAGCATTAGCTTCTATATAAAAACTGCACAGGTTTTGCAGAGCGCAGTGGCGCACAGCTGTGATCCCAGCATTCGGGAGGCTAAAGCAGAAGAGTGGCCACAAGTTTGAGGCCAGCCTGGGCTGTGTGGTGAGACTCTGTCTCCAAAAAAAAAAAAAAAAGAAGAAAAGAAAAGAAAGGGAGGCCGGCAGGAAGGCAGGAAGGCGGGCTCTGGCCCATTCCCAAGGCCTAGGGCTAGAGGGGCCTGCAGAGCAAGAGGAAAAGTAAGGGAAGAGTAGAGCCCCAGAAGGCCCAGCCCCAGGGCCAACAGGGCTCCTGCTAAGACAAGGAATGGAGTCCTGGGGTGGAGACAGAAGTCTGTGGGGTCCAGCTGGAGGGGCAGAGCAGCAGCCAGAAACTGTGTCTCCCCCAGTGGTCCCCATGGCAATCGTGGCCCCACCGAGCACAGGAGCCATCCCCTAAGGAGCCATATTGGGGCCACCGGTGTCCTGCCAGGAAGTAGCCGCTGGCCCAAGGGGCAGCACAGACCAGTGCCTCTGCCCCACCCCACCCACGGCCAGAGGTGGCCACTGGACCTGTGGCCACCAGGGTGATGCAGAAGGCCCAGGCTGGGATCCCTGTGCAGCCTCCATCAAGGACTGGATTCAGCCGACCCGGCTTTTTGTCCTCTCCCCGCTTCCAGCTAGGGGGGGTGCAGCCACAAGGAGGTGACAGAATGAAGGTGTGGAAAGCGGCAGAGAGGAAGGATGGCCACGCCTGGGCCCCAGCCTGCACTGTGCCGTCTCAGTTTCTCCCATGACGCCTGCAAAGGCCTCTGTGCTCCAGCCCCGCCAGGTAGGTGTCCGGTTATTTACGACAGCACTGGGATTCACCGGCTCTCCCCTTCCGCCCTGGGACCAGGCAGACTGGGTGTGGATCTTGGCTGGCGGCACTGGAATTCGGGGTTTCCCCACACTGTCGCCAAAACTGCAGCCACGGCCCCGAGGCTGGGGTAGGCATAGTTTCCTCGGTGTGGGGGCCCAGCTCGGTGGAAGAGGATGGCCCAGCACGGGAGGCCCTGGTTCAAGGGTGCTGGCTTGATTCCCAGGAGGAAAGTAGGGAGGGAGGGATGGAGGAAAAGAGGAAGGGCCGGGAAGAAAGGAGGAAGGAAAGGGCCACGGCATTAATCACGCTAAATACGGATAGCTGTTGCGTCAGAGAAATCCTGCCATCTCCGTGCTTAACACAGGTGTTTACTTCCATTCCAGCTGTGGGAAGATCTGGACGCCTTCTTCCTGCAGCCTCACCCTCCTCTCCAAGACCAGACAGGAGATGTTTGTGGTCCAGATCCAGGAGTGGGGCATTCTGTGTCCTTCCGTAGTGTCCTGCCACAGAAGAGGCCAGGAGCCGCCACGTGGCCACCCCCAGCTGCCCGGAAGATCTTCGAGGCCCAGGCAAGCGCTGAGCTCTCATTTTTCACCCCTCTCTTGGACACTGGGCTCGCTGGCCAACCCGTCTTTGTGAAGCCCCATTCTGGGCACCCTTCTCCCTCTGGTTTCCAGCCTCTCTCCCAGGCTTGAGTCTCTGGCATTAGAGTCGGGTCAGGGTGTGGTACGGCACATCTACCTGTAGTGCCAGAACTCTTGGAAGCTGAGGCAGGAGGGTTGTACTTTTGAGCCCAGGCTGGGTAACTTAGCAACTTAGGGATATTCTGTCTCAACATTAAAAATAGAAAAGGGCTGGGGGTGTAGCTTAATGAGAAGGCCTTGAGTTCAACCCCCAGTGAAGGCAAAAGACAGAGCCAGAAAGGGAATACATCTTGGATGTCACCCAGTCACGGCGCAGACAATTCCACATCTCAAAGCTGCTCCTACCCCATCACCCTAATCCTGCTGCCTCTCCTGTGCTTCTTGCCTTATCGAGCTGAATGACGACAGCCATTGCATTTGAGGAACCCCGAAATCTCAGCTGCGTAATGCAGTGGCCTTTACCTCCTGTTCTGTTCACGTCGCAGTGGGTCCAGGCCAGGCTGTTGGGGAAGATTGCTTCTCCACACAGCCATCTTGGGCTCGGGCACACCTGAGTTATCATTTCCAGTGAATGACACCGCCCCCCTCAAGGCTCTGCAGAAAGCGGGCACCTCTGTGACAGCCCCCATTCTGTGCCAACCCCCCGAAAAGGTAAGGCGACCCTTATCCAGATTGCATGGGCCAGCGCTGCTTCTCAGTGTGGCTGTGGAGAAAGCACTTGAAGGGGGTGCTGACACCCAGGAGTCCTGCCCCGACCTGACTTTGAGGAGGTCGAAGTGGGCTAGGCATGGGTGTTTCCAACAGGCGGCCCTAAGCGGCCCTAAGCGCTGCCCCTGGAGGAACCCGAGGGAGATTCTGCAAGTCAACATGGAACTGCGGGCCAGGACTCCCTGCGCGACCCAGAATGCCTGCCACTCACCACATATGACTTTTTTTTTTACCCCCGGTACTGGGAATTGAACTCAGGACCACGTGTTTGCCAGGCAGGCAAGGCACCACCGAGCTACATCCCCAGCCTATGACTATTTACATTTTTTTCTCATTCAGTTTATTGGTTCTTTTTTAAAGTATACAGTACAGTTACATTCATCATTGTTATCTTGTACTTTACATGACAGATCTTGGTTCTCATTTTTTCCCCATACCCCTACCCTCCCTTCACCCACTACCTTATTTACAAAGACTTTGTTTCCATTTTTTCATTTTCTCATATTTTTCTTTTCCCTTATTTCCCTTCCCCTACCTTCCCACTTCCTCTACACTTTTAGCCCTTTTCTTCCTATTTCACATTGTCAGTTATACAATTTGGATAACTTTAAATTATGAAAGCAAAACAAAGTTAAGTGCACACCTTAATTCCAGCATTCTAAGAAACTGAGGCAAGAGGACCAGTCAGGGCAATTTTTTGATTTAATGAGACCCTACCTCAAAATAAAAAACTTTTTAAATATTTAATTGAAATATATTGGTCTAATATCTACAAAGTGTGAACAACTGGTCTTAAGAAAGCAGACAAAAGGTACAAAATTAGTATTACTACAGAGACACATTCACTGGATTTTATAAATATCATTGGAGTGGCAAAGTAAAAAATAAATTAAGCATTCAGCAAAAACCAATAGACTTTTCCCTTGCTATTTGTTTTGGTCATGTCTTTGACCTCATTTGTAAAGGCTGAGGGCTGAAATTCAACTGAAACCAGAGAACACTTATGCAGGTATGACATATGGTACTGGGGACTGAACTTGGGACCTTGCGCTTGCAAGGCAGGCAGCAGCACCACTGAGCTACATCCCCGGCCCTTATGATATATGTTTTAATCACAGTAGCTTTCTTGCAGAGTTTGGGTCAAACCACAGAAGTGCACTTAAAAACAAAACTCCACAGGAAATTCCCTTTCCCCAAACTAAATACGAGATTGAGGTGGTGGCTGTGCATGTTTTACATGCATGCATTTAATCTCTAAAGCCCTTTTTCTCATCATAAAAGTAGCAAAATCACTCTATGATTTGTTTTTTCTGCTATGAAGGAAGTAGTTTCTGAAAAATGTATGACTGGTGCTCTGGGCGTAAGAAATCATGAGAGAGAGAGGCCAGGGATGTAGCTCAATGTTGCCACACTTGCCTCCCAAGCGCAAGGTCCCCAGTTCGATCCCCAGTGCCAAAAGAAAAGAAAAAAGAAAAGAAATCATCAGAAAAATGGGGGAGGTCCCAGTGGAGCCTGGTTCTAGGTTCACCCAATGGAGTTCCATCCTAGTAGCCTCTGGCATTAAATCTCCATCATCTTCCTACCCACCGTCATTCAGAAAAAAAAATTTTTTTTTCTTTTTGTACCAGGAATTGAACTCAGGATCTTGAGAGGCTGGCTGCAGAACCACTGAGCTAAATCCCAAACCCAAAAAGAAGCCTTTTTTTTTTTTTTCCCCCACACAGGAATGTAAATCGGATGTGGTGGCACATTCCTGTAATCTCAGCACGTGGGAGGCTGAAGCAGGAGGATCGGAACAGATTCGAGGCCAGCCTACATTGTTCAGAGGCCAGCCTGAACTACATAGTGAGAACCTGTCTCAAAGAAAACAAAAGGCGGGGGGTGGAGGTGGAGGGGGTTAGGTGGGAATGTAGCCCAATCCCCAGTACTGAAAAAAAAAAAAAAGAGTAAAATTCACTTCCTCAGACGCACTAGCTGCATTTCAAGCGCTCAACAGCCGTTTGTGTCATGGGACATTCCCATGATTGATGGTGGTGGTAAATAAGTCTCAGAACGTCTGGATTCTTCCCAAGCAGGAGCCTTGAATTGATTGGCTGGTGCCAGAGTCGTGGTGTCAGTGCTTGGCTTTGATTGGGCATTTTGTCCTAATGAAAACCAATCATCGTCGAGGGCGTTCTGGCTCATGAGGCCCCGCCCCAGGTTCCGGAGCCCACTGACCCCTTGCGGGTTAAATCCGCGGTGAGTCGTGACCCTCTGCCCGCATAGACACCCTTCGCTCTGCATGCTACCCCATCCCCGATCTGACCACGAAGTGAGGGGCGGGTGCTTCCTTCCCACTCCTGCCCTTGCCTCGCCAGTCCAGCCCTGGGAGTGCGATGGTATAAACCCGCCGGTCTGCTCTCGCGTCCGCCTATGAACTGGGCTGGCTGTGGGGGAACCGGAGGCTGATGTGGGCCTGGGGACAGGAAGGCGGTGTCCACAGGAGGATGGCCCAGGAGGGTGGAAGGCTGCCGGAGGTGCTGGTGCGGGTCGGGGCCTCTCACTGCATCACAGACCTGGCCGGAAAGCTCCAGTTCTATGACCACTGGGCTCCCAACTATGACCAGGTAAACTCACCTGGGACCTCGCCTCTGCTTGCCTGGCCTTGACTTCTCTTTCTGTAAAGTGGGAATAGTGGGCTTGGCATCGCTGGTGCTGTGAGGATGGAAGCAATACCTGGGTGAGAATCTCACAGTTTTGCACCTTCCAGAGAGGATGGAACCCTCTCTGCCCATTAATTAGCTCTAGACCTACAGCCCTCATCAAGGGCCGCACCCTGAGACGGAACTCAGACGCAGGATCTGCCTGGAGGAGGTGCCATCTCTCGGCTGGCTGTGGACCAAGCAGAGAAAGCCCCTGAGAGGCTGAGCCCAGCTGGGGACTCCACACTGTGTCCCCGGCAGGGCCAAGCCCCCAGCATGCCCCAGCCTAGCCTGGCAGGATCCTGCCCCCCACAGGCACCCACACCCTGGGGCACTGGTGGTGTTAAGCCTGGCACTCTGTCCCCAGGATGTGGCTGCCCTGCAGTACCGTGCGCCCAGCCTCGCCGTGGACTGCCTTACCCAAGCCCTCCCCCCGCTGCCCCACACAGCCCTGATCCTGGATGTGGCCTGTGGTACCGGCCTGGTGGCTGCTGAGGTGAGGTCTTCCCAGATCCCCATCCTCTCTTCAGACCCTCATTGCTCAAATTTCCTGGGCCCAGGGCCAGGGATGTAGCTCAGTGGCACTGCACCTGCATGGCAAGCACAAGGTCCTGAGTTTGATTCCTGGTAACAAAAATCCCCAAACTTGGGGCCGGGGATTTAGCTCAGTGGTTCCACTGCCTGCCTTGCAAGCACAAGGGCCTGAGTTTGATCTCCAGTACCAAAAAACCCCAAACTTTCTGGGCCCAGAACTCTGTCTCCCCTCTCAGACCCACTAGTCCCAATCACAGGCACTGCAAGGGCCATTGTCCTCCAAGGGTGCAGGGGACCCTGGTGGGAAGTGGCAGTACCTGAGCTGTGACCGAGTCCCCCACCCCAGCTACAGGCTCGGGGCTTCCTGCAGCTGCACGGGGTGGATGGGAGCCCGAAGATGCTGGAACAGGCCCGAATCCGTGGCCTGTACCGGCAGCTCAGTCTCTGCACCCTGGGCCAGGAGCCTCTGCCCAGCCCTGAAGGTATTTCCTCTCCCGCCCTGGACACCCCAAGGCCTGCCATGCACCCACCTTCCTAAGAAGTGAGCCCCCTTCTCTTGCCACTGAACCCCCATCCACCCTGCTGAGTTCTCCTGAGCCCGTCACCGAGCCCTCCAGCCAGGAGGGCTCTGATGTCAACCCAGGACTGAGCCATGGCACCAGGCCCTGAGACACAGGTGGCAGCCCTGCCTTGGAACACGCTCTCTAAAGTGGTCTGAGGCCACCTGTAGACCAAGCACCACATGGCACCCCTCCTCACCACAGAGGCCTTCGATGCAGTGCTGATGGTGGGTGCCCTCAGTGACGGCCAGGTGCCCTGCACTGCCATTCCAGAGCTCCTGAGGGTCACCAAGCCAGGTGAGGGGCCTCCCCACCCTCCATGCACACCTTCCCCTCTCCACATGCCACGCCCAGGCCCTCAGCCCCAAGGCCAAGCAAGGGCCATGGAACTGCTCGGAGTGGCCCAGCCTAGCCCAGCAAACCAGCCACCAGCTGCCACCACAGATGCAGGGCCGCAGGCAGGGCAGACAGGTGCCTGGCTCACTGGGCCAGGCCAGGGGTGACCCCCATGAGGCCACGCGAGCTCCGTGCTGGAGGAATGAGCGGAGAGCCAGGAGGGGACCTTCCAACAGGCACAGCAGTCACAAGGAGGGTGGCGTGCAGGCTTGGGGACCAGGAGGCACTGGCCTGCAGCAGGGCAGGACAAGGAAGTAAGGAGGCGAAAACGCTTCCTGTCTCCCGGCCTTCCTTAGCCCTGCAGCGGGCAGGTCTGGGCAAGCTCGAGCTGCTAGCAGTTCCAGCCCAGTGGGGTCACCAAGGAGACACGGAGACACAGGGGTTGGGTCAGGAGGATGAGAATTCCTGCTGTGTGAACTTGCAAGGGCCCTGTTAGCCCAGCCAGGATGGCCGGGGCCCCATCCACCTGCTGCGAGGGACAGGGCCCGCTGCAAGCCTGTGCCTCCTCACCACATGGCCGGGGTTGCCGGCTTCTCTCCTACCAAGGGCATCCAGGGCCACACTGGGCACCCAGAGGAGAAGCCCTTCTTCCCTCAGGCAGTACTTAGTGACTGTGTGGGGCATTTTGTACCCACACTCCAGCTTTCCTGAGGGACAGAATAATCCTCCACTCTGCTTTGCTGGGAAACAGGCTCAGAGAAGTATAGGGACTCCCAAGGTCCAGCGCCCGGGTGCTTCCTTCTGTCTATCCCGACCCAGCTGTGTCCCCCAGCAGAGAGGCATGGTGAGCAGTGACAGGGAGGCCACCAGCCAGGGCACTGGGTGAAGAATTCCTAGGGTCAAGGACACTTGAACCGCTCAGATGATGAAAGCAAAGGGTGTTTCTTCCTAGCAGAGGGGGAGGTGGAAGGAACTGACTGGGGACAGAGCTGGCAGCCTTGAAGCCATGGCGGGGAGGGACAGGCCTGGGACTGTGGCCTCAGACTCCCCTCCCTCACCGAGTCCCCTGCACCCCGCACAGGTGGGCTGGTGTGTCTGACCACCAGGACCAACCCGTCCAACCTTCGGTACAAGGAGACCCTGGAGGCCACCCTGGACCGGCTGGAGCGGGACGGGGCATGGGCGCGCCTGGTGGCCCAACCTGTGGACTGCTGGGAACTGGCCACCTCTACCCTCGAGGTGGTGCCCGGCACCTGTGCCAAGGATGGCTTCATCTCGGGCATCATCTACCTATACCGGAAGAGGGGGTGAGACCGGCCCCCAGCCCGAGGCTGACCTCTGACCCTCTGTGCCCCAACCCTGCCCCTCAGGAATGCTCTGCCTATTAAAAGGACCACCAAAGGGATGGGAACACTCGGTCTGCAGTTCTCTGGCTCCAGGAGCGCCATGGGTCCCTGCTTTACCAAGGCAGGTGTAGTGCTCTGGCCAGGACACCTGCCCCCGAAGCTGGGAGTTTTCCAGAGTTGTTTTCCCAAAGTTGAATATGAAGAGATACAGCTCCTGCTCTCCAGTGTGCCTCCCCAAGGATGGGGTTTTGGGGTGCTTCTGGAAAGGACCCTGGGGATCTCTCAACAGCTAGGGTGGTGCATGCCTGTAATCCCAGTCCTTTGGGAGGCTGAGGCAGGAGGATTGCAAGTTCAAGCCCAGCCTGGACAACTTAGTGAAACCCTGTGTCAACATAAAATTGAAAAAGGGCTGGGGAATGTAGCTCAGTTTGAAGGCCTGGGTTTTAATTCCAGTAACACAAGAAGGAAGAGATGAGCGGAAGAAGGGAAGCGGGGGGAACTGGGTAGCCTGATGTGTAGGCATGGTGAGGAGAGGGAAGGAAGGCTTGTCCAGCTGTCTCTCCACGTGAACAAACCGGATGGCTCTTCTCATTCAGGAAACACCCACCTTACGTGCTCTGTGACATCAAAAGGCTGATTATTCGACACTTGGGTGCCTCCCGGGAAGGGCTGGGTAACCTCTCTGAGTCAGACGAGGCCATCTCCAAATACCTCAACACACACATGCACGGGCACACTGCAAACAAAGGTCACCCGGGTGAGCACAATAAGAAGTGTTACGTGTAGTAAAACCAGCAGGATGGATGATTTTCTCCTGAGTTTCAAAAGCAAGAATGAGGTCTCTGGTTTTTAGGGTTTTGCTTGTTTGTTGTTGTTGTTGTTGTTTTGAGACGGGCTCACTGTGGAGTTGAGATTGACCTGGAACTCACTATGTAGCCCAGGCTGGTCTCAAACTCAGAGATCCTACTGCCTCAGCCTCCCAGGTGTTGGGATTACAGGCGTGTGCCACCACGCCTAGCTCTCTCTGGTTTTTAAATTTTAACTCCAGGGCTTGTCATATAGCTCGGTAGAGGCAAGCCCAAGGCTCTGGGTTCAACTCCTAGCACTGCAAAAAATAAAATAAAATGGCAGGTATTGGTAGCACACACCTGTCATCCCAGCTCACTGAGAGGCTGAGGCAGGAGGATCACAAGTTCAAGCCGTCTGGGCAATTCAGTGACTTAGTGAGACTCTGTCTCAAAAATTTTTAAAGGGCTGGGGATGGAGCTTAGTGCCCCTAGTTCAATCCCCAGTATCATAAAAACAAATAAATAAAATTTTAACTAGTGACCAGCTAAGACTTCACCTAAACATAAGTACATGAAGCCGGGAGAGACAATGGCTCCAATCTATTACAAAATAAAGTGTTATTTCCACGGTCACACCCGGGGGTCCGGGAGGAGCCCACGGGACCACGCGGTGGCATCCTGACTTCCTCCAGCTACCGACCCCTCACCTCTGACTCATAGCGGGGATACCCGCTGGGCCCCCTCAGAGCAGCCCCCACACACGCACCGTGGTGGAGGGACAAGACCTGGCTGCGGAACGCGGACACACCCGGAAAATCGCGGGCCTCCTCATTCCAAGCCAGGCTGTGGCCTGGGCTGCCTAAGCCGGAGCAGGTTGGAGCGCTCGGGATGGGGTCAGGGCCATGGGAAGGCTTCATGAGGAAGGCGGCTGAGAGCCGGGCTTTCTGGACCGGCGAGATTCAGAGGGCGGAGGAAGCAGAGGCACATTCCAGGAGGAGGGCCCGGCAGCTCGGCCAAAGCTGGGGCGGGGCAGGGGCGGAGCGGGGTGCCCGTGCTGCCTTGGGAGTCCCCACTGGACTTTCCCGAGTCCCCGGCCCTTCCCAGGTCCCGGGGTCCTGTGGCCCCGATTCCTCCATCACCTAAGGGGCTTGAACGGCTCTTTTCGGAGGTCAGTTTTCAGTTCCCTGGAAACCAAATTGGGACGTCCTGGGCACAGCGGCCCCGCCCTCGCTGCCCCCTGCCCAGCCCTGCAGCCCCACGGCTGGGATCAGAGACAATACTTGGGCCTCCTGTGCGCAGGTTCATTTATTGTAGAAAATAATAATAATTACAGTGATGAACAGAACGTCTTAAATTACAAAAACAAACCGGAGGGAAGGCAGAGGAAGCCCTCGGACCCTCCCCCGACCCTACCCAAACCTGTTTATTCCGCCTTCACCCGTCCCACAAACCCGTCAGTCCAGTCTGCCGCCCGCCGAGGGACAGGTGGGTGGGAGGCCCTGGCGCGCTCCCTCTCACGGGTGGCCAGGTTTCCACAGCTCCATCACGGATCCACCCAGTCACCTGCCAGGACCTTCCGTCACGCCAAGGCCTGGGACACCCAGGAGCCTGGGGAAAGTGGCCAGAGAAGAACTGCAGCAACCGGATGAGGACAGGAAAGGGAGGGGGTGCACGGGGGGACCCACGGAGAGGCTGAGGTCCGGGGGAGCTCTCCTGGCCAGCAGGAGCCGCTGCCCAGGCCACGGCCACACCTCGTCGGCTCTGCCCTCTCCACGTCCACCGCTGTGTGGAGGGGGTGGCTCGGGAGTCCCTTCCGTCCATTCTGGCCGGGGGGTAAGAGGGGCCGTGCGAGGGCGCAGGGCTGCACCATCCCTGTTTGTCTGCCTGTGGCGGGGCCATCCCAGGTCACGGGCTGGACGGGTGGAGCTCAGGCCGAGGAAGAACAAAGCCGAAAGGGACGGCGGTGCGCGGCTCCTACACGTAGTTGGTGGCCGTGGCGGCGGAGCGGGCAGCTGAGTACTTGGCGGAGTAGGGCTTGTCCTGGGCGCGAGGCGGGCAGTTGCAGCACAGCAGGGCGCCCCCCAGCAGCAGCATCCCCGAGGCCGCCCAGCCGATGTAGAGCGAGGCGCCCATCTCCCGCTTCTGCCCCGAGGCCACCAGCGGGCTGTAGAAGTCGCGGATGACGTTGTTGGCCGTCCAGGACACGGGCACCATGACCAGCAGGGAGGCCAGCAGGAACACCACGCCCGCCCCGATCATGGTCTTGGCCTTGGTGGTGTCGTCCTCCAGGCAGTTGGTGCACTTGCCTCCGACCACGGACAGCAGCAAGCCCAGCGCGGCCACGATGATGCAGACCACCATGAGCGCGCGGGCCGCCTGCAGGTCCTGCCAGTGCCAGC